GGAGCATGGTAGGATGTAAGACCTTCCTTTACCTCTTACTTATCTATAGGTATCTTAATTCAGTGGTAGTAGACAGTGGCTCTGTCGAGTGTCTTGGAGTATTCTCTGCAGCCTTGGTGTTAAGAAACCAGTTTTCTCATACAGATGCATTGGGCATGTGCACCTTCTTTTACTTTCCTGCTAATACTAAATGGAGAAAAGACTGCTGGCTGATAGTAACCTTTGTGAAAATGAATTTGTCTCAAGAGGAGTTATTTCTGAAAAATGCTGCACTTTAAACAAACCAGCTATCCTGGTTTGTCTGTGTTGTGTGTTTGTCTTGAGGTCCTTAAGAAGTAAGGACTGTAAATGCGTAGTGCTCAGGATGCTAAACCAGGGTAGATGGTCAAGACTTGGTCCTGTCTGTTTCTCCTTTGGATGTGCTGTCTCAGCAAGTCAGCTCTGAAAGGCAGGGATAACACTCTGACTAAAGAGGGTAAACACACTGTAATGGTGTAGCTGGCAAATATAAAGTGAATGGTGTGTTGATGGAAATGTCTTGGGGTTTTTTGACGGTGGGGGCAGCTTTTTATTTGGGCCATACAAAGTTGATCTGTTACACAGGACTAAATCAGAAAATTTCTGGATACTCTAAAAGATTCAGGGGACTATCACCTTAGTCACTGGTAATGTGTAACCATTCAGGAAGGTCCTTGTACCAGCTCAGTTTAGCATAAAGCTTCTAATGATGGACCCATTGCTAGAAGAGTGCCTCTCTGTTTGGAGAAATAAATAATATAGATTAAAAGTTCTAAATTGTGAAACTAATTGCTTAAAAATTACTTATTAAAAAAAACCCTGAACCACTGAAGCAAATGCCAAACTTAAAAGATTTTTCTTCCACACTTACTAAGTGATTTTTTTTTTCTTGCTTTAGGGCATAACTTCCTCTAATGTAATTTCACTAACTAGGAATTAAACACCATAAAGTATTGTCTAGGCCCATCTGAACAGCTGAATCAGATTCTGGTGGTGTTATGGCTGAAATGACAAAGTTCACTCTGTATTGTACTAATGTTCATAGCATCATCACAAAACAGGGCTTTTCTTGGGAAAGGCTTGAAGAAAACATCTAGTACCCAGTTCAGTCACATCTTGAAAGCCTCCTGTGATGGAGACTCCACCATGACCCTGAGGAGGTTGTTCCAGTGCATGACAGTATCAGAAAGAAATTCCTAGCAGAGGTGAAATCTCTCCTTGTGCAACTTGTCTGCACTGTCGCACGTTTTCTCCATATAGCTCCTTGTGAAGAGAAACTTCATCCTCTCTATAGCCTTACAAGTATTGGGATACTGTGATGTGGCCTCTACCAAGCCTTCTCAGGGAGAAGGGACAGCTTCTTCAGTCTTTTCTCCTTAGGCAGACTCTCTAGCCGTTTGATCATCTTCACAGCCCCCCTTTGGACACTGAGCAGTTTGATCTTTACTCTTCTTTGTACTCTCTCCAGACTGTTTTGTCTAACTACTAGGCTGTTTGCTTCTTTGGGTTACAAAGAGTTATCTTAAAAGTTTCATGATTTTTGTTTTATTACAGCGTTATTTCTCGAGCACATTAAATCTGAACTAAAAGGGTCTTTACCTTTAGAAAGACTCAAAGCAAACCTAGACTTCTATATTGCAATATAAAAACTTCCCCGAAGCTGGAGAGATTTTGTCGTGATGTTATGTTTTAATCCTAGAGTGGAAGGTTTACTTTTAAAATTCTGTAAGTCGGGGTTTTTTGATTTAGTTCTTCATTGCCTTTTTCAGAGGAGTTTTTACTAAATTTCTGGAGCTATTTTCAGTTTGAAACAAACCTCTTAAGAGGACTTGGCCAGGTAAAGCAATACTTCAACCTTTAGAATCCAAACTATTTATTATGCATTGACATAACTTTTTAGTCTTGCTTTAACAAGAAAATTGCCCTCTATTTCATAGCCTGCCAAAACCCTTTGACCTAAATGATGTATTTTTCTTTTACTGATTGTTGTTTTGTATTAGCTGAGGGTTTGGGTAGCAACAGTTGTAGGTATTGCAGCTCTTATAATTGTGCCACTTAATGTTAACTCAGTTCATTCTTACCACAGTGACCAAACTGCGTTTGGCAGCTCTTTATTCAACAGGCCCAGTTGCAGAGCTTGCATTCTTTACTGCTCCAGGCAAATTAAATTTGTTGATCATGCAGTTATAAGCTCAGTTCTTCTGAAATCTCTAAACCTTTGTTGCTAATACCTCTAAAAGGTTTTCTTCTTTCGTGTACATTTGATGACTCCAGTAACACTTGTATATAGTTCCTGAATACTGTGTTTGAGTTTTTAGCTATGGATTTAAGTTAATATGGCATGGAATGTTTCTGGGGAATTTTATCTTGTACCAGCTCTATTTTTTTTATTTTTAACTGTATGTGAGATTAGTAGTCAAATGCCCTGAAAGACCTGCATAGGTTCTTGTTGACATATTAGCAGAAAAGCTTCATAAAAACAAAGGGAGAACTGCTGTAAGTTTAGTTAGCTGAATTCTTTTAACTATGTTCTCTTGTCCAAGTAGATTTGCTTAGCTGGAGTAGCTAAATCTGCTGAATTTCCCTGGCAAAGGTCCCACTTGTTTGAGGACAGATGATGGGGATAGAGGAACTTACTGAGAGCTAGACAGCAACACTGGAAGGGCAGACAGATTTTGCTGCGTTGTTTCAAATTCATCTGTTAATACATAGATATCCATTGCCTGGGAAACCAGGCAATGAAGGGCTTAAATACAATTTCTGCTTCTCCAGCTGCAAGTTCTGTGGTACATGCTTATTAAAAATGCTTTTTAGAAAGTCTCCAAGTGTTGCAGTATGAGGAAAACTAACACAGAGAGTAAAGTGTGGGAAAAGCAAAAACTACTGAAGTACATTGTCTGTATGATTTAGAGTTTTAACAATGGCTTGTAAAACTGGGCTTTTTTTTCCTTTAGCAGTGTCTAGTTCTAGTACCTGGTAATTTTAGTATTTGTAGATGTGTTTCTCTCTAACAATAGCTCAGATGCTTCTGAAAATAAAAAGCTGGGTCTGTTGAAACATTTTAAGCATCAGTTTTATTGTCTGATACCTCAGTTTAGAAAATAAAGTGACAGGCAATTTAGCCAACAGACTGGGCTGCTACAGTAACCTTCCAGGGAAGCTATGGTGAAGCAGAGAGTGGTGGGACACATCTTCAGCTGAATACAGATTACAGATGTAACTTTAAGACGTGGAAGGAACCTTTTAAAGAGAGGCTAAACCAGGTAACTAGGAAAGACTGATCTTTAGTTTTCAGCATTGTTTGTAAGACCTCAAGTAGATGATCCTTCAGACTCCAGAGCTTACTCAGAAGCCAATTTCAGAAGTTGCCTGTTGTCCAGAGATTACACTGTAACTTGGGGAATGCAAATATGCTTGCTGCTCTCAGGATCCAGCAACTCCAAACCTTGAGAGGAAAGAATTACTGAAATATATTATGTCAAGTAGTTTATAGTTTAAAGAAAACCAAAGCTGGGGTTGCTTCTGCAGCACAAATAAACCTATCTTTTGTGTACAACTATGACTGTCCTTACTGCATTACAAAAAGCTTTATTTACCACTCTTCTTCCTTATACACCACATGGATAGTTCTTTGAAGTTTTCTTTTTAAAGATGATGTTACAGATTTCACGCATGCCACTTAAGCTTCGATCAGAGGTCTTTTATTGGCAATTCTTTGGAGCTATAAATTAATTTGCATCTTAATATTGTGACATAGCATAGACTTTTTCTCTCTGTGCTAACAGAGAGGCACAGTAGCCAGGACTGCCACTTGTCCACTAAATTTGCTCAGCCTTGCTCAGGTGCTTCTCAAGGAAAGAGTAGCTCGATTTTGTAGGTGAGAACAATCTTTCTGTAGTTCCTTGCTTGATTGGCTTAAATCAACACATTTTTCAGCCAATAGTGTAAGTATAGAGGCCTAGCAGACAAAAGGCACGCTTGCTTCTGGAGAACTTTGTCCTAGATAGAGCATAGAATTTGGGAAAATGGGGAAGAAAGCGCATAATAAATTTCAATCTTCTGCTAGATGTATACAGGTTGAATGGAAAACCTCACTAGTTTTTCTTATAATGCACAATTTCCCTCCATTCACCCTGCCCAGCCTGGTCCTCCTTAATCCCAGTGATGGCTGAATAAAATCCTAAAAGGCTCAAATATGTTTTATTAGAATTATTGGTGTGGGAGCCTTTCTAGTTAGTGCTTGGGTTTGTTCCACTTGAACTCAGTGACCTGTAGTGTTGGTGAATGGTCCTCTCCTCCACAGATCAGAAATAAAAGGAGGTAACCCTGCTCTGGTTGTTAGACACCATAGCCATGAGTTTAGGGTAGAGGTGTGTCCCAGTCTGCAAAAGCAGAGGGGATTTAGGATCGAATATACCCAGAGCGAGATTAGGACACAAATGAGGTCAGATGTTGGTAGCTAAAGCCATAAGGTGGAAGCTCAGACTTTATAAATTGAGCTCATCTGGCAGGAGGTGTATGGTGTCATGATCAGTGCTTGTCTCTAAGGACCCTCCTCTTTGTCTCACCTTCATTGCTCCTGTAGCCACCTTGCAATTTGTCTTTTGCATTGAAACTTCTGTGCTAGTACACTACCAAGGTCTTTGAAAGAACATGAGAGAAACAGTTTTTGTTGTCCTTTTCTGCAACTTAATGTGAGCAAAATGAGATTTTTCTTTAGCTGTATATTTTCTGAAAATGTCTGACCTGTGTCAAAACCCATGGTATTTTTGTGTGAGGCAGGTTCATCAATGCAGAAGGGAAAGTAAATGTCTTTCAAACAGTTTCTGGCAACAATAAGGGCTTTTAATATTTTCATGGACTTGAGACTGGAAAAGTGTAGGTCTGAAGACCATGAGGTGTAACCAACTCATTTCAGTCTGTAGTTTGGTAGCTGCAATTCAGTTACTATTGACCTGTTAGTAATATCTGTGTTTTCGTAGGCTGGGCCCAAGAACCTCGATGGAGAGAACATCGAGGAGCAGAGGCAAAACAAGAAAAAACCAAAGGGAGACCATATTTCAGGAAATACCATTACTATGAAACACAAAGACAAGTGGAATTCATGGAGGAAAGGTGGGTATCATGCAGGGAGAAGTGAGTTGCCTCACAGAGAACCTGAGAAGGGGTGGGAAGGAGATGTTCCGTGTTTTTAAAACAGATCTAGTAGCCCAGACATGACTTGAAGGCATAGTTGCATTATTAGCATGTAGATTTGTTGCAAGACTACTTAGTTATAACTAGAAGAGCTGTAGTTCCAGCTTCCTTGCAGGCAGTTTTGGAGTGGTTTTGTTAAACGTTAGAAATGTAAGGCAAAACTGAAAAGGGTAAAGATCTCAAAACGTAACCCCTAGTCTGCAACATAAACATTCTTTTCTGAGCTCATGTATCAAGCTTTGCAGAACATGTGGTAAGGTCCAAGTTAAATGAATTTTATTGTTCAAACTGAAAATACAGCATTCTCATATTACTCACTGTTTGGACAGTGAATGCATATCAATTTTGCTTTCTTTGTAATTCCACCTAAACCTTTAACACTTGAGAGTATGGCTGTTCTTACTTTACATCACAATAGTTGTTATTTAATAAGTTGCTTGAAATTTTTAGCAGTTGCATATAAATTTTGGCTTAGACAATGGAGCTATTGTCTGATACAGTTACTGAAGATTTGGCTGATGTGTTTTCTCTAACTTCTGTAGTGTTTTCAGTGTTATCAGTAAACAGCTGATCTTTCTATTCCTGTTTACTGTAATAATTCCTCCTGAATTCAGTTTGTCCATTTGCAATGACAAAACTAGAACGACTGTACTGTGTGCTGTGTCAAGATGCGCTCTAAAAATTGATCAGTAGTTGTCATATATTGATATAGCCATATGATTATTTTCTCCTTGTTAAGTGTTCTGTAGGAATAAGATTCTGACTAGTTATCTTCTTTTTATACCAACTGAAAGATCTGACCGTGAAGGACCAATAAGAGGCTGTGGTGGAGGAAGAGGTAGAATGAGAGGTAGAGGAAGAGGTGGAGTCTTTAGAAGTTTTGATGCCTTTCAAGGAAGACGTGGATTTGGAAGACAAAGTGATAATGATAAAAGGTAAGTGTTCTATGTTTCTTACTTAATATTCAGGTAAACAACAGACAGCACTGCAGTAGTATCTCCTAGGTATTCTGATTCCTTCTATATCCAAGCTGGCTGACAAAAACTCAATACTGGTTTTAGTTTCAGGTCCTAATGGGAAAAAATCTCTTAAACTCACAGCATTCTGTATTCTTCTCTAGAGGAACGAACGCAGATAACAAAAAGGGTGGAGGTGTAGCTAGCAACTGCACAGCAGTGAAATATGATATAAGGTACATCATATGCATGTGACCACCATAGATCATAATTTTCCATGAACCACCTTTGATCATCATTTTGTGTTCATCAGTTTTATGGGCATGTTGTGCTTTATAAGCATTGCTTTCTATTATTGTTGTGATTAACATAGTTTTACAGTTTTTTGAACTTGTCTGCTTTATGATGGTGAGATTAAAGTTGTAGCAAAGGCATGATGCTTCTTCACTTAAGGCTGGAGCCAAGTTGTCTTTTAATGGAAATAAGTTATGACTTTTCTCAAAAGTCAAGCAAGTGGGACTTTGGTATTTAGTGACATTACTTCAAAATGCTGATTAAAATATTCAAACTCTGTTAATGGCTTAAAGTCCAGACTCTTTTTCTTGAGTTTTATGAATCATTTCTAAATGGCAAAACTAATAGCTAAATATTACCCTCCAGAGCCACACGGAATTCTGACTCTACCACTGAAATAGATTTTAAAGTGCTCAGGAGGACCTGTAGCATAATGTGATTTTTGGTCAGTTAGATTTACTGAAATTTGGGAATTTTCCATTTAGTTCTATATTTCTCTTACTGATACTGGTTTCTGTTTAGATATGTAAGAAGCTCACCAGAAATGCTTCTTTTGCCCGTTCTTTGCACCTAGCAATATGCTATTCTTTCCAGTAACATTTGTTCTCATATAGATCTAGAATATTCTAACTGAAGGCTGATGAAGGACAGAGAAAAGGCTGTGCTTTGAACTTATAGGAAACATCTTTGGCTGTGTACACATTCATTCACAAAATTGTATTAAAACCAAAAATGTATTTTAAAATAAAATCCAAGTTATAAAACTTAGCTAGTGGATTCAGGCAATCATGCTAAAAGTTTGACAAATACAGCCCTGCTGTGTAATAACTTCGGGGGTTTGATATCCTAAGTTCTTCTGAAAGACTGTACTAACATTTATGTCTGCTGTAGTATTTCATATTAGTTAGTTAGGTATTCTGGCAAAAGTATTAGTTAGGTACCTAAGGATCAGCTAGGTTAACACTGGTAGTACAGAACTAGCTGATCTAAAGCTCAAAATTATCTTCTGTAGGATGTCAGGAAAGGTGTTGTGAAGTTCATAGTTACGAGAAGTTCAAGGTCCTTTTTCTTACTTTTTCTCTCCAAGTCTCGGGTTGTTGTGGGTGGTGGGTGGGTTTTTTTTTTTGTTTGTTTGTTTTTTTAAAATTTCCATAGCATCAGAACTTATGATCTATTGATGCTTTCTTGTGGCGTGGTAGAAGTGACACTAAATTGAAGCTGTCTGAACAATTCCAAAAGCATGTCTGTGCCCTAATTGTGCTCAATCATGTGTCAGGGCTAAAAGGTGTTAATTTTACATATGTGTGCTTACCAGTGGAATGAAAGTAAGTTCCTACTCATTTGACATCAAACGAATGTCTGTGTTATAGAAAACACAAACTTGGAGTCTGAATGTAACTATTTCAACTCTTGAAAAGAAAGAAAAAGACCAAGCCAAACATCAGTGTTATACTATACAAGTACTGGTATTAGTATTCATGACTGAATTATTTTGTGTTCATACATGCTCTTCACTACTTTTGTTTAAAAGTACATAGAAGTTGGACTTCCCTAATACTCCTTGTTTTGTTAATTCCTCAACTAGAGACTTAGTAGATTTACTTTCTGCTTATGATCAGCGTTTGTTTTGTTCTTCCCAAGGAATTCTGGAAAGAAAGCAGTGTATTGATCTGCAAGGTTTTATTTTTTCCAATGTGACCCATGAAGACTTTAGCATTTTTTTGTTTACTGTTTCAGTGGGACGAGACAGACTGCACCTGTGGAAGAGACTGAAGAAACTGCTGAGCAGCCAGGGAGATCTAAAAGAGGGCCACTGAACAAGTATAGTTTGACTAAAATTTTTGTTCTAAGTGTAAAGAAAACGATTGACTCACCGATAAACTTGTATTGGGAGGCACACTTGAAATGCAAACTGTGAAGTTTTGCTAGTGCACAAGTTTAAAAATAGAAAAGCTTTGTTTGTATTTATGAGTATAGAAGATGCATCCCTAATTCTCACTAAAGCTTGATTTATACAGCTGCAGACTGTATTTAATTGCACAGTGATGCTTAGGTTCCTAATATTTGGTGATAATTTAAGGAGGGGCTACGTATTATCTTTCATCTTTTTAACTTGACTAATTCATAAAAATTACCATGCTTTCTAGGCAAAAAGTTATTCAAGGTGCCCATGCACATGGGCACCTTGTACAGACACATCTGAGGTACACTAAGACACTCTGTATTCATCAGTCCCTAGTATCATGCAGTTGTGATCTATTTATGAATGGCCATGGCAGAACTTGAAAAACTTTCTGGAAATGGTTGTGCAGTGAGCCTTAGAAGTAGCAAAATTGATGGAAATCTGCCGCTCATCTTCTGGCTTGAAAGCTCATCAGTCTCAAGTAAGAATTTACTTCACAGCAAATAAACACTGGCTTAAGAAAAAGTAAGTGGACAACCTTGTCCAAGTAAGAGCCTTAAAGAATAATTTAATAGCATATGGTAAGTATCTCCTAATGAGTGAAAAATAGTCAGTGCAATATGTTAACTTTATCTTCTGTTGCCATGAAGCATTTTTTGCCTAATGATGCAGCTCCAGTTGTTAGTGACCTGGATTCATTTCTTAATTACGAAGCCAACTAGTCTACAAAACCTCTTTTATATGTTCAGGTTGTTTAACCCCGTAAGAAGTTCTGTTGATATAGCTTTGATTCTTTTCATTTTAAATTAGCTTTTAATACATAGCTAGAGGTGTGTACACATGGGGAAATCTATCTTTGAAACTGAATGACTTGCAACTGAATTTCCAAAAAAAATCCCCCCTGTTTCTAGATTAACTGAAGAGTAGTGTAGATACACTGTCAAAAATGCACTGTACTCCTGGTACCTTTATATGTTTCTGACTTGTATTTGTTTCTGCTTCAATTCAAGCTCTTTGTAGGTGTGTCCTGATATTGGCTCCTTGTAGAGCTTCAGGCACAAGAAGTAAATGCAGTGGAAAAGGCCTGTGGCAGAATATGCCAGTTATCTGTAATTCTTTTGCCTTTCTTAGAGATCACTAGGTATTTGGTCAGGCTGTGAGCCTTTCTGGAGATTTTACTCCTGTTTATGTTTTTTAAAAAAGCTTCATTTAGGAATAGTCCACTGAAATCTGAGATTCAAAAAAGCAAGTAACATACAAGTATAAAATTCTGCACTGTGTACTCTTTTCAGTGCAGTAAATATTGTCCCAAAGGCTTAAAAATCTGTATACAAAACATGGATTACATATATCTTACTGCACTTACCTTTTGGGGTGGTGGCAGCTTAGTGACTCTAGGTATTTTAAAGCAGGAGACATTGTGTGAAGAGTGCCTAGGTCATTAGGGATGGTTGTATGGCATACCTTAAAGTGGAATTATTTATTTTGTTCTTTTAATATTTAAGAGTAAAATCTGGTTGGTTATGGCTTTCAGGCTTCAGGATGTATTTAAGTGTCTTACATGTGTAGGTTGCCCCTGCTCTCCAGAGTTGCTGTCTTCTAGCAGATAACACAATGGTTAGGTTACCTTCTGCTTTTGCTAGAGCCTCAGTATTATATAGGATTGTGTGTTTGCTAAGCTACTGCTAGGATCTTTCTCATTTTGACTCCAAAATGCAGTGACTCCAAGGAAACCATTTCCCTTCTACTGCTTTGTTGCAGTTGTGTGCCTCTATTGGAAAAGAAATGGAAGACTTGGGTTTTCTTCTCTCATTCTCTTCACTGTTGTAACGATTTCCATTTAAAAATGCTGTCCTGGTTATTGGGAATATGTTTTCCAGTCTGATTAGACTCGGGAGTGTTCGGTTTGATTCCCCCAGTGTGAATTAAGACACAAATGAGGTCAAAATACCATTAGGGAGTGAGACTTTATTATTGGTCACACAAGGGGGAGAGAAGGGATGACAGGAAAGTCAGAAACAGAAAAGGGAGAAGCAGGCAAGATTTGGTATGCCAAAGCAGAGATAGTCACCACCATGGATGCAGATGATCCAGAGTCGTATAGAAGAGGGATGGTCATCACCATGGACCCAGCAGCATTCTGATGATCCATAGTCATGTTTTTCTTTGGTGATAGGTATCTCCCATGCTCTGGATGCTGTTCCTTTGTATAGGGCTCTGTCAGGGCACTGATTGGCCAGTTTCCATGGAGTTGAGCAATTCCCAGTCTCATGATTTTGGCAGCTGGAAGTGATGTCAGTTGTGGACAATGATGCCTGGTTATCTGGCAGCTAGAGGATTTCCATGGCCAGAGGAGGCATCACGTGGCTTAGCAAGCGTTGAAACAATCAACTAGCCTTTGCCCCACAACAAGCCATCAAGGCCAGGCAATGTTGAAACAAACCTTTCTTAAAGGTTCCTTACATATGTCTGTGTGGAGATACTGTGTAGTTTTCCAGTGTGGTACTGCCTAATTTCATTTCACCTCTGGAAAGGGCTTCTTCTGTGAGCTTATCTGACTTGCAGGGTCTTGCATTCAGGACTAGCTGTTCCCTAGCTTCCATTTGCAAAGTATTGCAGGACAAGAGGTTTTTTTAACGCTTCTGTAATATAAATAAAGTTAGATTTTTTCCTATATCCTCAAATTTCCTTGGGTGTATCAACATATCTATCTCTTCATAACATCCCAAACTGAATGCTAAAAGTTGGGGTTTGTTTTGCTGCAAAAGCACAGCCTAACTCTATATAGAATACACAGGTACTACAGCAGCATAAGCTTTCCTCACAGCTGCTTTCTCACAGTCTGAACAAAGTGACACACTTGTGTTGACTAATTCAAATTAATAGATTTTTCTTTTGATTCAGTACAACACAAAGGTTAACCAATTCCTCTCCCTAAAGGTATTTCCGGAGTTAGTATTTATTCTGTGAGGTTTTCTTCCATTTCTTCACACATGGGCTTTCTTTTTGGTGGGCTATGTATCATTCTGGTCATTTAATAGGAAACTTTCAGAATTTATCTTCAAGCTTTTTGAGCTATTTATCTTGTTCGTTTGGGCTTTTTGCTGTTGTTGTTGGTTGGGGTTGTTTAATGGTGACGTAAAGCTATTCATAGACCAGGCCAGAGCTTCATAAGTATTTGGTTGAGTGTTTTTCTTATAGTAAGCTTGTACAGTTGTTGTTGTTTGGTCTTACCTTGTTTAACTTTGAATTTTGCTATAGCTGGTGATAATGCTCCTGCAAGAGATGTTTAGTAGGAAAGATTCATGTCACTGACTTCTTGATGAAAGCTGGCTAAGAATTTGCTTTGTGCAGCTGACTAATACATAAACTGATCTGAGAAAGACATGCTATCATTATTTTTAATTAGAAGAAAATATCCGAATAGCTGAGCTGGATGCCATTTCTTTCCCCTTGCATTTCTTCCAGTGAAAAGAAAAGGTATTTTGTTTACTGTAATCAAGGTGTAGCTGGAGGGTTATGGTTGTCCACTGAAAATGCTGAAGCAGTAGGAACCATTAATTGAAGGCTCCTGTATAGTGATTTAGCAGAACTTTCATTGTGAATTCTGTTTATTCATGTCCAGAGGCTGCACTTAATTATCTGGCATTATTTTGTAAGCATGACTGTTGGTGTGCCAAGGAGCTTATTACTTTGATTAATGAAAATTCACCAAGCAGTTACTAAAAATATGTAAGGTTAGAAGGCTGAAAGTAATGCACACTGTGCACTTTCCTGCAGGCTTGGTGCCCAGTATAACCTGCTGCAATTGAGTCTCTGTCCAAAATGTGATATTCAGGTTTCTGTTGCTGTGCTTCACTAATGGGAGGTGTTTCCTCTTGGGAGTCTTGACATCCTAAAAGAAACTTGTACTGCTAATAACCTAGCAGTTAAAACACTGCTTTGGAGTAAAAATCAAACCATACTTTGCAGTTGAAAAAAATGAACATTTGCAGTGTAAATCCATGAATACTGCCCTTAGAACTGGCAAGTGGTTGTTTTTGATAGACGTGTGCTTTTCAAAGCAATCATTCTTTTTTTTTTTTTTTTTTTTTTGAGAGACTGAGTTGCTGTGTAGTGTGATGTACTTGTGGTGTCTTATGATCATAGCAGTTTCGATCTGAAAGGGTTCTTCCAACCCAAGGCATGTCACTTCTCATGCCTGTCTAGTTGATGTTAGTGTCCTCTACTGCTAGAAATTTCAATGTCCCTTGATGGTCTTTCTAATACTTAGAAAACAGAAGCTGCTGTGTTAGTGTTTTTATTTGCCTGAGTGTCTTGCCTTAATGTCACAGATATGCAAAACATTTTCTTTTTTAGCATTATATATGTTTCCTCAGTGCATCTTTTAAAGGCTTCCCATGTACATCATGTGGTTCAGACTTCATACCTGTCTTGCAGTGCTCTTCTGGGCTTCCTACCTGTTCCCACAGAGAAGGCATTCATTTGAGATGTTCCCCTCTACCAGTAATGACATTCATGCCGAACAAAGCTGTTAATGTGGCTCTTTATCACAGTATGTTGTTGCAGAAGGGACAAATACTTCAATATTGCTATATTTGGGATGTAGGGGTCTCTCCTTCAGAGATTCTGCCTCGCTAGTGGCAGAACATCGGCCACTGCTGTCAGCCATCTGTTTGGATGGCTGGTACTTTTGCCTAAGTGTATGTATTTCTGGCTGTCCTTGGGGCTTCCTGGTGATTTTTGGTGTTGTTTTCAAGTCACTGAGTCACTTTTACATCTTATGCCACTAGTCAGTCCTTCAGTATTCTTGAATACTTGCACTGTTGCCCTTCTCTTAGGCCAGCTTTGTGCCATCAGTGGATCTACTGTGTATTACTCTGTGGATACCTGCGCAGACCTGTCCGGAAACCCCCACTCAAATACTTGGTAAATTGAAAGATCGGTAGCTACTTCTCAAGTACTCGTTGCCACCAGTTCTGTGTCTTTTTACAGCTGTTGCTAAGGTCTGAAACATTGTGTCTCTTTTGTGGTGAAAACTTAACCTGGAGAGGAAGAAAAAAAGACTTGCTCAAGTTCTGATGTGCAATTTACTGATTCAGTTCTGAGGTAGTGGCTTTTAGAAAGAAATGAAACCAGTTTAACTGACACCCTTCTGTTAGTTTAGTTTCTTGTTTTTGTTCTCCAGTACTTACCATTAGTCTTGTTTTTCCAACACTTATTCCTGAAAATGAAGCTTCAGATAAGTAATCAAAATTATTTGGCCTCTTACTCTTAAGGACACAGTTGAAAAGTTTGGGGTGCAATTTGTTCTTACACATGGAACAGTAACTATTGCTGTTTTTCCAGAACTAGCTGTTTCTTTTACCAATATCCCTTCTATTTAACTCAGTAAATTGATTTTTTTCCCCCTAAGAGTCCTAATAGAGTTACAGATCTTCTTTAATCAGCGTGGAACTACACACTGCTTACCAGTCTTTTAACGTTTAATTTCTGGTTGATGCAGCTGGAAATTTAAAAATAACAGGGCAAGAAGGCTTATCAGAGGGGAGGCATGTAGTACAGGACTTGAGTATTTGTTGTTCTTCTGTGAAGTGCATTTAAAACTGTGTTCACCCCAGAACCAAAATAAAGTGTTGTCTTACTGTTCAGTTCTGCTCCTGCCATATGCTGCCTCAAAAACACTGTTAAATTTTGATGGGCAAGATAGAGAATGGTTCTCTGCAAGACCAAGCAGGAAGAGGGACCAGGCCTGCTCTTATGTAGGCTAGTTCTGCAATGTGGAGAACACTCCTAACAAATGTGTGTATGTGGGGTGTTTGCATAACTTCAAAAACAAAAATCACAGTTCACTGAGTGTCATTTGACTCTGCTTCATTTCATGGTAAAAATTTCCAACGTGCATTTAATAAACTCTATATTGGGAATATCATCAGCATTTGGTGGAAGAAGACTTGGAACTGTGAGTGAAGAAAAGCAAATCCATAGTTCTCCCACCAGATGGATCCTAATGAAAGGGTTTTCCAGAAAAATCAGTGTTAGGGAAACACTTAGCCAAATTCAACTGCTATTGTAATGCATAGCAGTTTTGTGTGGGAGAAGGGAGAAATGGTTTCTCAAGTGCCTGGGAATAATCAGTGTGGATTTTCCTGTAGTTCTTGGTATTTGACTTGTTTATGCAGCAGAGAGTTATGGTGATGAAGTGAGTTGCACTCCCTCCACATGATGCTGCTTAGTAGGGAATATCTTTCTGGAAGAATCATTAAAAGGTGCATCTGTATTGTAGTCTAATAGCTCCTGCTTCTGGGCAAGTCAGTCTTGGTCAGCATCAGAAAAGTGGCAGAAGAGTAGCTAAGCAGTGAGTGGAAAAGAACCTTTAGTTTTGTCTTGTGTACCTTCTCTTGTGAGTACAGACATAAAACCTTCTGTCTTTAGAGTTCAACACTATGCAAGGCAGGCCTTGATGTGTTTTCCTTGAGCTATTAAATTATTACACTTAATGACAAATTAAACTTGACTAGTATTTATGTTTTTGCTGGGTGATAAGTCCTGTTTCCTTGTGTGTTACTACATCTGACAAAAGAAACACCTTGTGAAATTTAACAAAAGAAATGTTCATAATTACCTAGAAGATTCCATGGTATATTTCTGATGACTGAAAGCTACCTTGAAGCGTGAATCCATCTCATATTGTCAAGGTGCAGTACAAGTCAATGAAACCATGCCATTGGGGTGTTTTAAAACTGCTCTGTGTGCCTTTTTTACTGCAGCTGTATTGGCTAGGTGTAGATCCACTGTTAAAATGTAGGGTTAAGAATACGCCAGATCAAAAGTCAGAATTTCTTCATGTGGCTAATTTCAAACAGTATATAAATATATATTCCCACTTGCATATCACACAAAGTTACTGTGGGGAGTAAGTGAAATTAAGGACAATTTGGTGAGAAACATTCCAAATGTTTTGATTAGTATCCTCAGTTTCTTGTTCTTCATCCTGGCATGTTGCAAGCTAATGGTTTTTGCTTTACAACTATAAACCTTTAGAGTTGCTGAAGGACAGCCAGTGGAAGAAGTAGTTCAAGAAATGACCTTAGATGAGTGGAAAAATCTTCAGCAACAGAATCGACCAAAGGCTGAATTCAACATCCGGAAGCCAGAATCCACTGTTCCTCCCAAAGCAGTGGTGATTCACGAGTCAAAATATAGAAATAATGTAAGCATTGCCTCAGGAGTTCTCTAAATTCTGCTTTATGCCCAGGGTTAAGGAAACTGTCTCTATTCTTTTTCTATCACTTTTTCTACCACTTTTAGTATAAACTACAAGAAAACAGAATCTAAGCTTTATTACCATAATGACACTTGCCCCAAAACTTGCCTTAAACCTACTGTCTATTCATCTTTCTTCTCTTGGATGACACCCCCCCCCCTTCTGTATGCAAATACATAATGTATCAAGTTGTTCTACCTTATGGCTCAGTCTTAGTAATATAAAGCCTGTGTCCTTGCTGCTACCAGCTGTGCAGATCTCTGGTAATGCTGCTAAAGAAACTTGGCTTACTGAACACTTATTTTCCTAACTCTGAATCCTGTTTAACTTACTTGCCAGTATACATGTGCATGTATATATTAAACTTGGGTTTTGACATCTGTTAGTCTGGATGCTAAGTGTCCTATTTCTCATCTGTGCTGGATCCCAGCTCTCATTTTGCACTTGGAATACAGGAATTTTTCATTCTTCTTTTTTTTCTCTTTTCAGTTTTAGGGTCCTGCTTCTTAAAACTAACTCCGTAGAGCTTGTTCTGCAGTAGTGTGCTTACTTCCTCACCCTCTTTCTCTAAATTTTACTCCATGATATTACTGAGATTAAAATTTCAGGGAGAACTTCTAGCTCTGGGGAGAGTGGGGAGGCTTCTTTCAGACTCTTGCTCACTTAGATTTCAGACTTTGGGGGTCACAGAAATATGTGCATGTCTAGCATGATGGAATTTTGATCATTGAAGTCTATGTGCATTTATGAACATATGTATTGTCTTGCCTAATTACAACAGTAACATCAAAACTTGTAGTATTTTTAAGCCTTCATCATTTTAGACCATTGAGCACTTTCAGGGACATACAGTACTGAAGTGTCCTGTATTCTTTCTAGCAGGACTTCTGCTGGTTGGAGTTCCCATTATTCCCTCTTCCTTCTCTGAGGGAGGTGGTGGCAGGGGTGGGGGGGAGAATTGCTTCTCACAAACTCCTAACAGAGTATGCAAGTGCATGTAGAGTGCATACAAGTTCCTGTTCTTTTTGCCAGTAAAGTTTGTGTTCTGGCAGTATCTAGGGACCTTGTCAAAATTAAGATAGGAGGTACAGGAACTGTGTAACATAGGCAAGACAAATCCCTGATTTAGACACTGAATAAGTGATTTATCACTGTATGGGATGAGTTTACATGTACAGTATCATTACTGCAGTGCACATTAAAATTATGATGGGAAGTAGTCTTACATCCACTAGCTACTAGGAATACACAGAGTTAAACCAAGAGTAATCCCACAGCTGAAGACATGTAAATGAATACATTGATTAGATAGCTTTAGTATGGCCTTTTAACCATTACTTGGAGATAATTGTAAGAGTAAGTAGTTTAAGTCTGATTCTCTAGTTCCTTTGCAAACCTTCTAGATGATATTTCTGGAAAACCTCTTTAGTGTTATGAAGATGGTACAGAAGAGTTTGTTGCCAGTAATTTCTAGCCAACAAAGGACCATCCCAGGCATCTGGGAAGCTGCAATTGCCTCATCTCTGTAAAATCCTGTGGAAGTTAAGACTTGTCTTCTATTCCAGATATCTTGATTTATCTGCTGCTTAGTCTGTAATACAAGTGTGTGTGTGTGGATTGGGGAGGGAAGAAGCTTGTTCATGGAAACTACAGGCTTTAACCAGATCTTTTTTTCAAGTTGCAAAAAGGTGTTGAAGGTGATTCTCATGTCTTCCGAAGACCAGCGAATGATATAACACGTCAGCTGAATATTAATTTTGGGAGTCTTTCTCACTGTGACCGTGGATCAAGAAGAGGACAAGTTGTTTGTGGCAATCCAGCAGAAGGGGCAGAACTGAGACCAAAAGTAGAGGTCATGATTTTTAGGGTGGTTTTTTTGTTTGTTTGGGGTGGTTTTGTTGTTGTTGTTTGCTTGAGGCTTTTTTTCAGTTGTTGGAGTGTGTGTTTTGTGTGTCCCACCCAGTTTTGTGATGAATTACTGATTTCTGTAGTGATAGCTGTGTTTCTGACTCCTGCCTCATAGCATGTTAGCCTGCTTATTTTGAGTTCCTGGCCCATATCATGTTACTTGAAATTAAGTACTGGTTCAGACTCACTCACCTTTTTCTCTGAAAAAAAAAAAGGCATTTGCACACTGGAAAATGAGATCTCTACTCTTCATAGTGAAGGTCTCAGTTTACTATGAATAAAATAGCTTAAGGCTGAGAACTTTCAGAGTAATACAGTAGTGTTGTTTCATCTGAATGAAAAAAGCTCTTTCTAATAACAGGGCATAGAGTTTAAAACGATGGTATGTGCAGTAGATTTGAATATAAAAATATAGTAATGGTGCTTCTAAAGATATACAGTATTTTGATTGAGATTACTTTACTTTTACTCATTCAGTGCTCCAGAACTTCTGATTTTCTGGTCCTCTCCAGGATAACATTATTATAAATACATTCACACTGAAGAAATTATTGTACTCATAACTTCTGAGAAATTTTTAGCATTTCTGTGATACTGATGGATATAAAGCATTTAATTTGAGAAGAATTAACCCTTTTGACGGTAAAATATGTATACATAGCTGTTGGATGATTTTGAAATGCATTCATTTTTATGAAGCTTCTTTTCCTACTTTGTAGGTGCAGCCTGCTGCTCCAAATCCTGATGATCTTGAGGATTTCCCAGCTTTAGCTTGAGGAACCATCACAAATGCTGGTATCTCAAAGTAGCTTTGGTGTAACTGTGAAGAAACCAGTTTTATGCTGGTGGGGATAAAGAAATCCTGTTTCCTTCTGGAAAAATTGTTTAGGTATTAGGTGTGGAATGATTGCAGCTGTCTGTTAATGTAGTTGAATTCTGGAGATATGGGTGGACTGGGATCCTGTCACAGGTTCCAGTGTCTGCCTCCATTTGTGAATGTAAAGCATCCACTGTGGGGTGGTTTACAGTATTTCACTACAATGCCTCATGAATTTAAAGGGAACAGTGTTTCAAAACATGTATATATTAAGTTCTTCACGACACCATGGTGAAATGTAAAACTGTACAACATGATCTACAACTTGTTTCTTTCAAGTGTATATATTAGACACTTGTAAATTGCAGTACCTTCTGGACTGGCAAATAAAATAATGTTCATTCACTTGGGTTTGAGGTATTATTTAAACAAGTCAGTGGTAGATTGAAGTTTTCATTACTTGAATGTAGTCTGGAGGAGAAAAAAAGAAGGAAACCCTATCAAACTCTAAACAGCAGTCCTTACCCAAAACAGTGAACATCTCTCTAAACAGAAGTGATCTTTAAAATTAAGGCAGCACAGATGCTTTTAATTGTTATCTAACCATAAGTCTTGCTTCAGTAACAAGATACAATCTGCAACTACTTTGAAAATGTTCAAAGTAAAGTCAGTATTTTGAGCTAAAGACAGAAATAAATTTTTAAGAAAGCTTTTAATGTTAGCAGGAGCAACATTAAAAGCTTTCTTAAAAAGCTGTTTCATGCCTTACCAAGAAGCTTGTGACATGGGGGATGAGGTGGGATGTTCTTTCCTTGCAGCTTTAACCTACTTACTCACTTGAGCCAGACTCCCTGACACCCTGTCAAAGGGGAAAGTCTTATCCACTAGAGCCAGACTTCCCTGTCAAAGGGGATGTTCAGAGCCATTCTAGGGGATGTGAGAGAAACAAGACAATGGTGCCAGAACTGATGACAGAAAGAAATGAGAGGACAACCACACCAGACCTTTGGATGTAGCTGTCATCCTCACAAGAGTCTTCAAATGCCTGATCAACTTGAACTCATTCTTTCCATTTACTGGGAAAGCAGATGAATATACACCTTTAATTCCCCCCACCCCGAGTTCTCTGCCTCACTTCTAAGCAATCTTCTTTGAGAGCAAATAGTGGATGAGATTCAGAAGAAATAAAACCTGTTTTGCTTTGTAGTAGGCTCTAGGAGTACTCAAAAAACTTCACCTCAGTGATAAGGCTTCATGGAAGTGGTATATAACGGTCCTAGAAAGACTGCAGACTCTTTTCTATATGCTCCAAACAAATGGTCTGCAAAGAACTTCAGCTCAAAGGTTGTTTTTGGTTTTTTTACTTCGTTAAATTACTTATATGGCAACTTGCTGTAATATGAGATTTTTGTATTCTACAAGGAGCTCATTTTAGTAGCATAGAGATACTCTGACAACTTGTAGTAGAAAAATCATGCAAAACCAGACAAAATGCTGGTGTGAGAGGGAGCCCCTGATACTGCTGTTTCAGTAAGTGAGTGGGATGAAATAACGTGCCTGACTTTCACCTTGTAGGAACAAGCTGTTACTTGAAATCACTGCAGTTAAAGATTTAACTGCTGCTGCTCTTTTTGTGTGCTTGTGTGTTTCTGCCAAAACTTTACTTGAAGGGGTGAGTATGTATAGATGTGGAGAGCTCCTTTGCACTTTCCATTGTGTTTTGAATGTGTAGCCTCCACTTCTACTAACACCTCTTTTGTTAAGAGAAGCAGTGAAGTACTTAAAAACAATGCTCCCTTTCTCTACTAAAAACTTGAAATTTTGCTATGCTACTGGGCTGAAGCTGGTGTAATGCAGTTGATTCTGTTCTGACTCTTCTCTGGGAAGGCTGAAAATTGTTTTATTTTTCAGTTTGCTTCCTGCTGCTGCAACATTACTGTTTATTCCTCTAACTTTGATTTGTTTTTCAAAACACAATGACAAATAGGTTCTTTGGGGAATGGTGTAAAGGACTTGTCAAAATATATCTGTATAATCAACTTTTCATCAGCAGATTGTTAAAAAACTTGTGGTTTGAAAAGAACAAAAAGCCTGGTTACAACACTGTTTATTTTGAAAAAAAAACAACCAGCCAAAACTAAAAGCCACAGCTTTGTGAGAATGATGTTTAGTGCTTAAACCAGAAGTTTCTTAGAGCAGCTAGGGGTGTCAGTGTTCTTTTTCAGTCTGTCAGACTTGAATATATGACTTAAGAGTTTCACTAGTTGATAGCACCTAAGAATAGAGAAGAAATTATTAAGTGGTGACAGTGATGCTTAGCTGTGATAGGAGAACACTCTCAGTCATCTGTCACATTTAAGGTACCAAAATAGCTGTATTGGTTAAGCACTTTCCTGCTGTTAACAGTCATTCCTGGTTTAGCTGTACTCCTTCATGTAAAGCAAGTGGTATTAAGTATAAACACAAACACTAGTAAAACATGGCATGCATTAAATTGTGTTGCAGGTCTTGGTCATGTTACTCTTTAATGCACTGCTACAAGGTACTCTGCTCTTGGGGCTAATGTACTGAGTGGCCTAGGAAGAACTGCTGCATTTCAGCATTGAGTTTTAGATTAATCAGTAAGTTTGCAAAGAAAGGAATTTACTCCTCTCCACAACTGCCATTTATATATGTTGTTGACAGGATGTTGTCTGTGTGAATCATGTAGCACTGTGGTTTAGGATTGGCAAGAGTGTATTACTATGAAAGTGCCTTCAGAGCAAAGAGTAGAGGAGTGCCTGTGCTTAAGAATACCAAAGAATTAATAAAAAGACTCAGAAGTAAAAAAAACCCTGAGTTGATAAATAGGAATATTGTGCAATTGAGGCCATGGAAGATGAGCTTTCAGCTCTGGTTATACTTGTTTGTATGAAAACAGGCCTCGGGGGTACAAGCATCCTTTGGGCCCAAAACCAAATTCTGTAGCCCTCGTATACCTACGTCATTAAGATTATTCTTGCACAATGTTTGAGTCACCTTTTCTTCAGAACTGTCACAGGCCCATGCCCACCTACACACACATCCACAGTACAAGTATGTACATATACACACACATACATGCAGTGTTGAAAGTATCGCCATGCTGACTCATTGTCACTAGATCGACAATTGAAAGTGAAACATGGTTATGTTTGCATGAAAAGTACATTTCAGTGACTGAATAAAAGGCATGAAATTAGAGCTTTTCTCTTTCAGTAACATACACTGAGCAAGTGCTGAACAGTTTGTGCTCGGTGGGGAAAGCCCTCAGCCTTTGGCAGAAGTAACAAGTCTTATACTTTGTAGCTTAGCATTTAAAAGGAAATACTTTGTATCTTCAGCAGGGTTTTATTTGTTGCAAACAACTGCCTCTGGGAAGATGTGACATAAGTGTTGGAGGTAGCTGCGTCTTCAGAGCAGATTTAGATACTGCAGTACATTCAATGGTTGTGCTATGTTTGAGACAAACTATCCCTCAATAAATGGAATAAAGTTTTTGCTCTCCTTGTTTAGGTTTAGTATGAATGTTCATGTTCTATGTTCTGTTGTCTCTATGATGTATTACAGATGATTTAGAGCTAGTTAACAGGACTCAATAAGCTGTTGCCTGCTTTTAGCACTAGTAGTTCCTCTGTCTAGATTTGTACAGTAGTTACCATTTGAGTGAAAGACACTGCATTATGCATAATGTAATTGAATTAGTAGGATAGCTTTGCTGAAAGGGAGAACTAGAAGCAAGGGTAGGTTTTCTTTTTCTCTTGCCAGTAAGTTGTCATACTAAAATCTGAAAATTCTGTACTTGTAAGTGGTTTGGTTATATTTCCATTACTTATGGATTGAATGCTGGTTTTGGGGTTTTTCCTGGCTCTAAGTAAAAGTTTTGAACCTTGGAAGCTGTTATGGGAAAAGTAAAACCTACTAACCTTTTTACAGAAGTGGAAGAAGACCAGAGGCTAGGAAAGGTCGATCAGTGTGAGGAAGGGAAAGAAGAACCCCCAACAAACCAACATTAAGTAGTAGTTTGAAGTATGTATTGATGCTGGTGTGGAAGAGATGGACATAAAGCATCTAGAAGTGTGACAAGACAATTACCACCAGTTGTGAGTCCTGCTTAGAGATTCAGTCCTGTGAGCATGCCATTTTGGGAAGAATGGTGGAAGGTGAATCTAGTAACAGCAGAACACGAAACTCAGGAAGAGAAACAAGGGGCCTAGAGAGAAACTGTTTTAAGGAAGGATAATGAGGAGGTTGAGCCTTTCCACTGAGTAGAAAACCAAGGAACTGTTCTGCCATCCTAGAAGAATGGCATTGAAGCACTGATAGAGGCAAAAGCAAGCTAACAAGGCTAAGCAGTGATGTTTCAGCATTTGTTGTATACTGTCTACCTTCCTGTCTCAACAGCAATCACTTTGGATTTTCTTACATTAATGAAGTAATGCCAAGGATAGTCTTCTGTGTGTTCCCACCATCCTGTCAGTGTACAAGGACTTTGGGATTTACCACTTTACACTCTTTGTGGTGCAACTGGTCTGCAGCAACTGGGGAAGAGCTGGGAGTCAGAGGTGCTAGTGACACAGAAGAGCTTTCTGTCTGCTGCTATGCTCCTGTGCTGCTGGGCTACCAGATGGTGGGCTAAGTGATGCAAAAACAACAGCTGCTGCCTGGCCTGTCCAGACTCTTCAGCAGCCTTGTGGACTGGGACAGTTTGACAGAGAGGACGTGGATCAGGTGTGGAGCTGTTTAAAGGACAGACTTGCTAGGTGCCTTGACCAGGTTCTTGGAGATACCCCATAGATGGAAGGCATCATGTTTAATACCATGTGTACTTACGTGAAGATAGTTTGTGTCACATGGCATTTCTGGTTTAGAGTGATATAGAGTATACTGAAAACACACACAAATGTAAGTTAGACTTATTATAGTAATTACAGTCCACAGTACACTCTGCATCACTCCCTGAGCTTCACAAGCACAATCACCTCTGCCTGTTGCCTCTTGGCCTTATTCCATCTTAGGGGCTTATTGGTAAGCTAACAGAGGCAAATCAAAGGTATTCAGAACTCCTTTAAACAGATTATTCATGCAGTGCATTAACTTGTCAATGGATTGGATCTGAGCTACTGTTCAGGTTTTCTCTGTAGGATTTTTTCAGTCCTCTGCCTTCCCCAGCCCAGTTGCCAGTACTCCTTAAACTGCTAAGGATAGGATAGGGCTTAACTGTGCTCTTCTGTGGGCATAAAACAGTGTTTTCAGGGCAAACCCCATTATTAACTATTTATCAGGCAATTAGTTTGTCAGGAAAAGGTGGTTTAAACATTGATATAAGTTTATATAGGATCATCTTACAATACAAGAACACAGATTTTTTCCAACTATAAAAATGTGTCTTTGGAGCAAGTGAAAGTATACTTGTTGTCAAACAGGCTTTGCTTGGTGTGTGTACATTATGCATTTTCTAATGCAGGTAAGGTAAGGGTGATTAGAAGCATTTGAGTTGGTCAGTATTTTTTGCTGTTGTATTTGGGTTTATTTTTAAAGACTAAACTACACCACCGACAACACTTAAGCAAAAAATGTAGTTAACCTGAAAATTTAGTGATGTACTTTTGAGAAGCCTTCACTTTCATGGTAAGTATCAAAGTATATAGTATTTAAAATAATGCCTGTTTCAAAAAATTAGTACTACATGATTACAGAGAAAGGAAAAAATGAACTGTTATTACTATGCTTTGTTACTGCATAACAGCATCCCAACAATTCAAATACAACTACTGTTTTCCAAAGTGAGTTCCCTGAAATGTAGAGCCAGAAATTCTCTAGTTTTGAAAATAAAAAACATGTGTTTTAAGAGTTTGTGCTTCAGTTAAACACTTTCAGGTAGCTGAGACTCCTGTATTATTTTTTCAGTGTATATACTAGTCAGTCTGGTACAGATACAATAGTTTCATGATGAATATTTTTAGAATGCTGGAAATAAAACCGAGAAAACAAGCTTCTGATTACATTTAATTTTACACAATCCATGTTTATAATTATCACTTGAGTATTTTGTATAAAATCAAATGCAATACACAGTATTTTCAAATGAGACACAAATGCATATTGAACTACTTAATATTACAAGATAATATGAAGCTTTATCTTAAAAACACCTTCAGCAAAATAAACTCCCATTCTTTCAACCCAAGTTAAAAAAATATGATTAGAAATATACAATTTAAAAATAATCAGGATGAACAGTACTGATTAGTCAAGAAGTTTCAGACCTTGATAGCCCGTACATGAGTTTAGGCAAGACAAACAGTCTGCAAACAATTAATATAAAAACTGCAGTGCAACAAACTGGTGAACATCACATTTTTCTTTTGTTTTTCCTATTTTAATGCATGAGCCTCTAAAAATCTTACTCTTTTGTTTTGTTTTAAATCAGCAGCACTTCCTCTATTGTCATAATGGGGCCAAAAGACAAAGTCTGGGTTAACATCTGAGTTAAGTTACTGATGCTGTAATGGAAGATAGCAATTTGATCCAAGATATTACAGCTCCTGAGTATGTTGCATACTTCTGAATAAGAGATGAAGGGAGAATACATCTGCCATGTATTTGAAAGGGGAAAGAATTTCTAAGGAAAAACTCCTCATTGATGACAGCAGAAATAACTTCCTTCAGCTGCTCTGTGGCACAATGGTGATGCAGCTGCCACCACACATTCCATTTTGGCACATAATACTTCAAACTCAAAAGAGATTTAGAAACCAAGGACACCCTCACCCATGCCCAGTCTTCATTCTTGTACTTAAGACAGCTTTGGTACTTATAATAAAAACTCTAGAGAAAGTACTAAAAACTCATAACAACAAACTAAGCAGTACAATTAGATGGGACACAATGAGGTAATGAGTTCATTTTCCATATAAGGCTGTTTGGAAAGTTCAAATGTAAAATCCCTTTGACATTTATGTGTTTCTCACTAAGACACTGGGTGGTGGGAGGGGTATCCTGAAACACACTGATGCCAAACATGCAGTTTTGGTTTAGCTACAGTTGCTATTGTGTGTGCTTGTGTACTTCTGTTATGCAAATTTACTTCTGATGAACCTAAAAGTGCTAATGACTCTGCTGGTTACTTTAAAATAGGCAAACTTCAATTTGAAATTTCGAAGGGGTGGAAAATAGTCCAATTATTTTTAGGTTAAAAACAAAGATGCTAAAATAAGCAGCTCAGCTGAGAGAAGGGCAAAACCAAACACAATAAATAATAAACATTTCTTACTTTGACTCTCACTTCACTAGTTTCATCCTTTCTGCCTTCCAAGGTAAGAATTTTCGTCAAAAATAAACACAGATTCATATTTGCACAATATACCTACTAATGTGATTACCTGTGCTTCAGTTTTTGGGCAAGTGACTTACTCAAAAACCACAACCAACCAAGAAACCAACCAACCAATAAAAAAAACTTCAATCCCCAAGAAATTTTAACTGCTATATGAGGTCGAGATCAGTCCCTCTCTTTTAGGTGTTTTTCACCTAGAAGAAAAAGGTGGGGACTGTGATGATTAAAAGTTTAAAAACATATTTGCAGTCTGAGCTCAACTGCCCTTTATTTTGCACTATACTTCAGTTTTCTTTGTATTCCTGTTTGCACATTTTAAATACCCAAACTCATGGATGCTACCTGTAAGTTTACTTACACTTCACATCCTGTTTCCTCTCCAACTCACTATACTCTTGCCACAAAATGTTTCCAAGCCCCTGTGTGATTATCATATTGGCATTCAAAAATCACCAGCCTAACAGAAAACTTAGTTTCCATTTGAAAGGAAGTAGATTGAAACTAGTCACTGAACCTGCCCATTTACATTCACAAAAATAAAATTCATTCTCTTGCAGAGGTTATCTGTATCTTTAAAGACTTCCGTTATTCCACTGCTAACATTTCAGGACTCTCCATTTCTTCTGCTTTCCACCGTAAGAGTCACTAAGTCAACAGATAACTGCATTGTATTTAAGGCTATGTGGTAACAGTCCTCATCTGAGGGATATGCAGCTATAAACTTCAGCTGGCGGACAAGGGTACATCACTGTGAAGCCAGCTTTGAAGTTCATAATGTGAAAAGTAGTACGAAAAGACCACTGACAGTGTTTGAAGACAGTCTTGCAGTGGATGGAAATTTCAATCTCAAACAGGTTCCTCTAAAAATTACACTGCTTTTTAACAGAGGTAAGCTGTAGTTCTGAAATTGTTGATTACATGTCAAAAACTTTACCTGCCCCTGAGTTCCACTACCAATCTCAATTGCGTGGCAAGCTTATTTTCCCTTTTTTGTGTGCTGCGCTCATTAAGTGCCCCAAAGCTAAAAAACAGCAACATCCACGTGTTATCAATCACACCAATAAAATCTGGGGGAAATTCCTACCTTTTATGTATGGTAATCTAAAGTTTCACCTAAAAGACTTGATGATAGGAAAGGAAACAGCAATGACATTTCAATATGACAGCGCTGCTTTAAATGGTAAACTGTTTTTTTCTCCCCTTTAAGAGCATACCAGATTTAAAGCAATTGTAACTAGTTACAAGAGCCATTGGTTGCGAATAACTAAAAATCCCTCACTATTAAAAACAAGTTAATCACTTACAGTTAGTTTTTCCTAAATAAACAAACCACACAACCTTTGAAAATAAAGCACTCTTTGGTGGACAATAGTTACTTTGTGTACTCAATACTGCAGCTTCATAAAAAACTCCATACAAAATAAGAAAGAACAGCCAATCAACACAGGAGAGTACCAATACTATAAGAAAAAAAGCTTTTGTGGTTGATTTTCAGTCTCAAGTGAAGATTTTAGCCCAGTCTGAATGGACAACACAGATTTATATATTCAAAAGCTCCCACCATCTTTTGATTTCTGGTGGTCAGCAGCTAAGTGATTGCCATCACAATTTATACACATGCATCATACATACTAGCTGGCCCTCTCTATAATAGAGAGCTTAAGTATTTACACTTGAGTCTGCATGTACACAGATTTTGTTGGTTTCATTTGAGGAAGTATTAGCACAGTAGGAAAATGTCTACTGACCCCTTCAACAGTTTGTTTCATTCTGCAAGTACAGAAAAGATTCTTGTATTTCTTTTTTTTTTTTTTTTGCTGAAGGATGGAGACAAGGTAATCTTCCTTGAATTGCATCAAATCCCCTCTAGTTATATCCCCTTCATTCCTGAATATCCTCTTCAATACTGGTAGCTTATTTGAAATTTAACGCAATACTGTTCTAGTCCTTGGGATGGATTGGCTGCTGAAATAAGGAAAAATGAGGAAAACGTTAAACATTACTCAATATGTACTTCAAACAAACATTTCTGGCAAGGTAAAATGAGCAAATGGCACTTCAAAGAAAGTAACAGAATGTAAAAGTCACTGTATTTAGGAACACAGCAATACTGGCTGTCAAGAAAGCAGAGACTGGTCTGAACACAGACAGTATGAGAAAAATTCTGTTCCATACAGAAATGCCACAGAGGGATTCAGAGTACCATAATTTCATTAAGCACATTAGCTGTTAAGCATTCATTTTCTTTCTCTCCCTCTGAGGTAATCAGACCACAGGAAAAGTAGAAAGAACAGTAAAGAAACATTAGTACTTTTTAAAAGCTAGGCTTAGATATAGACAAGCTCTGAAATGCTGCAGGTGGTTTTCAGTATTTAAACACAGATGAAGAAGGCTGCTTTGTACTTCCCAGCAAAGCAAGAAATATGAGATTTTTAAAGCACATTCCTCTTTGTTAGCTTTTCTGATACTCCTCTCTGGTTCAAATAAGCAAAAAAATCTACACAGTACAGTTACTATACATTTCCCCCCATACTCTGAATTATTTACTTTTTTTTAGTAACTTGACCTGCATTCCGTCAAGCACCTCCACCTGCCAAAGCTCCTTCACCACTCAAGATTTCATTTCTAATCAATCAGTTACTAAAAACGTAATATTAATTGCGCTCTGTGAGGTAGTATAGAAAAGACTAATTTGCGTCTTACTATGACTCAGTCAATTTGGATCTGACATATGCACGTTGTTAAAATACAAACATGAACTCCTTGGTAACTGGCAAATTTACAAGGAAGGTGTCTTAACTGGAGAAACAAGGGCATCCACAGAAAAAGATTGGATAACCATCTAGTAATGTGATTTCCTGCAGTTCAACAACAGTATTATTTCAACCCCAAGATACGTGTTATGGCCATCAGTATTTCTTTCGTAGATAACAGATGACAACTAGAAATGTTCTGCAAAGGAAATGCATTGAATGTTATGAATAGCATTGAAATTCCCTAAGTTCTCTTTGCAAAGCCAGAATAGAATGTTTTTGCTGTAAACGGCTGTTTTGGCTGAAAAATCATTCTGGAGACATTCCATGATAGTGTCTCCAACAGTCTGAAGGATGAAATGGCAAATGAATTCCTCATTCCTCATAAGCTCTGTGGCTTATACTCAATTAGGATGGGTCACAAATGTGATTCATCTACAGAAAGAATTGACTAAAATGATATAAAGCAGCAAGAAGTGAGATTAATGTACAAATGGTGCAAGATGTTTCCACTGGAATATATCAAACAAGAAAATGAAAGAACAAGGATACATAGTAGTGTTGGAAGTTCAGTGAAGTAAACAAGGTCTTGACAAATTTTGTCAATTTTGTAATAGTAATTATTCTCTACCCTGCATCCACTTGGTCTGGCAGAGGTCAATGAATCTGAGCACTATCAGGTAATGCAAACTGCACACACTTCGAGAAACTAAAATAAATTTAGATGAAAATAGAGGCGTGCTTAAAAAGAAAGTGAGATCTTCTCAAATCCTAAAAGAAAAATAAAATGACACCTACAAGATTAACAACGAGGTACTGTATTCTAAGTCCATGAAACCGTCATACCAAAATACCCTTTAGAGGGACCAGTACCTAATTAGCCCTCTCAGATTACAAGATAATTAAGAACTCCAGAATTGTGACATAACTAGGACATATTTGATTCTTGGATGGAAGCATAATGTGACTGAAATTCTTTGACCTCAAAAGTTAGAAGAAAAGAAACAGTATATGGAATGAAATATTTAAGAGAAATTTCAGAAAATCCACTAAAATATGAAAGAAGTAGTTTAAGATGTTTGAGGTCAATGTGATCTTTGTCCTTCAGAGTCATAAATCTGCCAATATACGTAAAGGTCTTCTTTCACAATAAATTAAATCTTCTACAAACTCTATTTTAGGGATGCTGTTTCCTCCTAAGCACAGGTTATTCTTATCTCACACAACACAAAGGTCAACTTGGAGAAGTGTTTTCCAGGAACTGAAAATCTCTGTTCAAATTACATATGTGCATGTATACCTCTACCAATCACTGCAAGGACCTTAAAACTGGGAGAGGCATGAAGATTAAAAAACAGCAGGAAGAATCAAATGAATTCTGTTCGGACCAAAAGTGACATGGTGAAAAGTAGAAAAAACGGAGAAGAAAAAACAACCAGCCAAAAGGAAGACCCTGAGAAATACTCCTGACTTTTAGTAAAAACCTACAAGAGATTATTTAACATAGTGTTCAATGAATCAAACCAGTAAAAATTATCTGAATAGAATTTATTGCAGTCTACAGTTAATGACTATTTCTATTGTCTGAGAGACCGAATTTTTCATAACTCCCGTTTACCTTCAGGGTATGGATGGTATCTCCTTCTTCAGGATGAAGAAGGAGAAAGATAAGCTCCATGGGGAAAAAGCTGCACAAGAATTTGAAATTTTTCAGCAATGTTTAAAAATTAAGCTATATAACATAAAACCAGTTATGTGCCATCTTTTACTCTTCCCAGCAAAAGCAAGTCTCTTCAGTACCTGACAAATCCATTGAAAAGGTTGTCACGAGACAAATTCCAGTCAATTCTAACAATGAGAAATTGTCTGGATATTGTTTTAAGCTACACTCTCAGGCCCATCTTTGATAATCACCTGAGGAGTTGCCATAGAGGGTGCTCAAACACAAAGAAACGTAGCAGTAGTGTGGCCATATGCTTCAAGGCCCAAAGGCACCCTCAGTCTTGCATAAATCCATTTAAATTTAAAACCTCATTAAGCTCTACTGAATAGGTTCAGTTCAGATTATTGCCCACACTCTCAGTAAAAAAAATCTCATACCAACATACACAGGCATTTTGTACACTTCGCCGCTCCACTACTACTGCATTTCTGTGTCTCTCGAAATTCTCATAGTTTCGACTTCATGTACTGACTAATATTTGACTCAATGCTGTGAATAACTTTTCCATCTCTTACTCCAGGTAGAGGGGTTCGCATGTTACCAAAATCCCTTCTGTAATTCTGACTCACATCAGGAATTGCAATATAAAATTCTTGAAGCTGAGAAATTGAGCAACACAAACAGATGACCTAAAACATAAAGTTTCAGATATTCTTGGTACATGACACAAACCATAAAATTGTTTGTCATTTCCAATTGCTAGGAGAACGAGTTGAACTGTGGGGAAGCTCCTGCCAGCAATGGTGATACAGCAGCTCAAAGGATTTGCCTGGAGAACAGTTACTGGATCTGTAAAGAGGGTAACTCTCACCTTTTAAAACTGTTTTTTCTTGCAGCAGACCTGGTAGTTCTTTTAGCAATATCTGTACTGTCAGAAATGCTAGGTTCAGAGGTTTTATTTTTCTGAACACTGGACTGCAGAATTACTCTGTAAAGAGTAGGAAAAAGAGAAAGATTATATAACTGGAAAGTTTCTAGAAAACACTGAAAAGACGGTGTTACAGTTGCAACAGATCTAACAAGTATCAGCCGGCTTTTCACGAACCATTCTGAAAAGCAAACTCTTCTGCCTGAAACACATCCTTCTCTTTTATAACATCCCTGTTATAAATATGCTAATGCAAGTTGTTTTTATTAGGAGCATAGCAGTTTGCTTTGTTGGTAGGTTTTGCTGGGTCTTTTTGCTTTCAAAGAATGGATTTGAATTGGTTTTGAATTTCCTGTTATGTTTTTGGAAGATAAACAGATAAAAAATTGTATTTTAAATTACTGCAACAAACAGTAAAAGAGGATAAAATCTGAAGTACGCAACAAAAACAATCACTGTTTTCCAGACTGACACAGAATTAAAAATAACCCACCACATAATTCAGTTTGTGAAGACCAAAGTCAAGTCTGAATCTCCTGAAATTAACCGTGAGATATTCCCGTCAAATAGGAAAACCATGGCATACGCTGGCATTTTGCTCTTAGAGGGAATTACTACACCACACTCAAAACTCAGCTTTAGATGCTGGCTGTGCTCAACTGCTTCAACTAGAAGACTCTAGAGCAATACATGGACCATTTCTGAAACAGGCAGATAAATCCTAGTGCTGCTTACATTAATAAGAAAAGTATTCCAGATTGTGAAATGCAAGCAACTATTTTTATCCACGAACTGGTTCACAGAGAAACTACGTCTTCTGTATTCCTAAATACTTGTGGAATTATGATACTATGGAGACAAAAATAACAACTCGTCAGTGAGTCCACAGACAACTATTCAGTTCATCATTTTATACATCTATTCTCTAGTCATTCCTTCTGTGCAAGGTTCCCAGGACAAACGTACGCGTGATTTTAGAGATTCAGAGCTCAGAGTAACTTAGCTATTGTTGTTTATTCTCCTGCTGTTATTAGATTCTAATTTTCAGTGGCTTCACTGAGTCCAATTGTGTCAGCAGATTATATTAGACTGGAAAGCAAAACCTTCAGTAAGTTGCATAAATTGTAGTCTGTATAAATTGCAGATTTTTTAATACTCTGTGGAAACTGTTTTCAAGGAACCCTAGATAGGAACATAAAAGGTTAACTTTGGAGCAAGAGTGGACAAGCACACATAGGAGAAAATATACTTTTATATACTCATGCAACATATTCACCAAAAAAAAAATGGAAAAAATAACCTATGCTTTCATGGTTTTATATGGGTTTGATATCACAATTAGAATATGCATTGAAATTAACACAGTTTCATCTAAAATATATTCTTTACATAGTAAAACTGACCTTATATTTACCACATACTTCTTGACTGTTTAGCAAACAAATGACTACATAGCCACAAAGTTCAAGTATTTTAAGCTTCTACTTGAATAAGTCTCTCTTAATATTTGAGCCTTTCAAAATATTGTCACTTGATTTGCAATAGTTCAAACAAAACAGTTAGTTCCCCTGAGACAAGATACAAGATTGTAATGAAAAGTACTATCAAAATGCAAAGCAAA